GTGTTCCCTCTCTCGCTGTGTCTCTCTCTGTCAAATAAATTAAAAAAAAAATATATGCATGTATGTCTTATGATGACTAAGGCAAAACATCGTATCACGTTTAAAAGCCGCTGGTAGTTTCTTGTCTATCAACTGCGCATGTGCTGTGCCTATTTTTCTCTTGTATCGCTGGTCATTTTTCTTACACTTCCAAGAACTCTTGAAACGTGAGGGAGATTAGCTCCCTTTCTATGATATGACTCGTCAGGTTTTCTCCAGTTTGTGCTTTTGCCTTTGACTTTGTTTACACGACGCCTTTGCCTTTTTCTTTACAACACACTCAAATTTATCAATCTTTTCTTTTTGGTTTCCGGATTTCACGTCATAAAAAGACCACCAGCACCCCATGTTTAGAGAGGCTTTTTCCCCACATGAGAGAATTTGAAAACTTCTATTTTTCACAGTTAAAGTTTTGATCTGTTTGGAATTTATGCTGGTACAGGTGTGAGGTATGGATCCAACTTGGAATTTCAACACTGGATCCACACGTCAGGAGATGACTGGTCCAGTGACTTGTATGGTTTGTGCCCACCGGTTCTGAGAAAGCTAGCCTGCCCCTCAGGAACAGACAGGCATCCAAATACACCACTGGGTTTGCTTGGTTGTTTGTTTGTTTGTTTTTAATTTTATTTAAAGTTGTTTTAATGAAACCAGTTTTTTTTTTTTTATCTAAAAAGCTCAGCTATAGCAAACCTATCAAAACTCTGTCTCTCTCAGCCAAAGGGAGGGGACTAGCAACAGGGTCATGGTCAAGAACAGGGCACTCATGGATTCAGGAAGAAGGACCATTGGGGATGGGGAGAGCACTTCTTCCCTTGAGTACAGTCTCCCCAAAAGGGTGCCCTTTGACAGCTGGTTGAGTGCCTTGTCTATAAGCAGAGTATTAGGCAGGGGGAGGGGGGTTACAGGGTGCACTCTGGCTCAGGAGATCCCTAGACAAGATGGCAGAAGGCAGAGCCTTCCTGATGATCTGGCTCCTCACCAACAAGGAAAGCTCATCCATCTCACCTTCAATCTCATGCCACTCTATTTCCAGGGCAGCTGGGTAAGATGGTCAGCTTTCCTTCTCCCTTCTTCTCTGCACCATGGATGGACAATTCCAGTAACTAGAACCCTCATCCATCGTGCCCTATGAGAAGGGAGCAGGGTTTCCAGATAACCTTTGTGACACTCAGTAGATTGGAATTCAAATAAGCAAAGAAGATTTTTTTAGCATAAGCATATCCCAAATAAGGAAAGACTTTTTAGCATAAGCGTATCCCAAACACTATGCTTATGCTAAAAAAGTCTTTCATTGTCTTTCAAAAATGCAAATTTAACTGGGTGCCCTGTGGTTTTATTTGCTAAATCTGGCAACCCTGGAAGGATGCAAAGAGTTGGGAGAGCAAAGTGACCACTTCAGATCTTGTTTCATTCATGGATTTGCTTAACAGCATGGAAGAGGGCAGTGGTATGAACAGACCGTACACCTGGAGAGGAGGAGGAGAGCCTATCTCCCCATCTCTCCCCTGCTCCAAAGAGCCTAGACTTGTGCATCGGAGGAATATTTGCATGCAAGGCACATCTGTCCCATGAATTACGAGTTGGCAAGAACACTTAGGGGTGGGACAGCTGATCATGGGAAAGCCCACTGGACCCATCAGATGGCAGCCACTGCCCCGAAGGAACCCAAGCTGTACTTCTCCTTGTGTTTTGCAGATTGACCAAAAGCAGTTCAACAAAATCCTTGATCTGATCGAGAGTGGGAAGAAGGAGGGAGCCAAGCTAGAATGTGGGGGTTCAGCCATGGAAGACAGGGGGCTCTTCATCAAACCCACTGTCTTCTCAGAAGTTACTGACACCATGCGCATTGCCAAAGAGGAGGTACTGGGGGCTGCAGGAAAAGCTTCATCCCAAGGGGACTCTTGTGGGGTGTGGGGGGTGAGAGGAGTGGGTGTTACAAACAGAAGTCTTCTCTAGGGCTCAGGGACCCCAGAAGTCTTTGTGAGGGGAGTGTTTTCCTTTCTCCTATGGCCTTCTTCCTCTCCTTTGGGGTCCTGAGAGAAGCCATCTTGCCTACCTGCCTTTGGGAACCCCAAGCACTGTATAGCAGAGTTTGTCCTAAACCCCCCATTTTCCATGCATCTCTGAGGAGCGACAGTCCCTCTTCTGTCTTCTAACACATTCTTGGGGTGGCCCATCGTGGAGGCTTCTTGCCACCAGTGGGTTATACCAGTGGATTCACGGCCCAAGGCTGCCTTCACGGCCCCTAGACTGAACTAAAACAACGGGTGTGTTCATTCAAAGAACACATTGTGGCTGGAATTCTCTTTGAAGTTCTCCATCAGGAGCATCCTTGAAAATGGTGGAAATTGAGGAGACCCCCATAAGAGTGGGATTCTAACTTTGTCTTTCAATCTCACCGTTAATCCGGATGGACACTTGTTCCCACCTAGGGTCCCGGGTGGTTGGACGCTGGGCTGTGGTCTTTTGGGACTCGAGAGAAAGTGAATCACTGCTGAGTACTTCCTGTGTGGGTATTTTATAGACTTTCTCCTAGAGACTTTTATGGGGTTTTTATTTTTGTTTTACATAGCAAGGAACAGTGTCTCCCTCCCTCCCTCCCCTGGGAGTTATTAGGGAGACAGTTTAAGGCATCCTCGTTGATGGAAAACGTCCCACCAAGAGGTCGGGGCACACGGTCCTACAGCTGTGCCGCTCAAACACCCTCAGCAATAACTTTCCAAGGAAAGCTTGCAAAGTTTTGTCTTGTGTGCACGTCAGAGGGCTGGGGCTTCTCAGAAGCCCTGATGACACTAAGAGAGAGAAGCCTGAAACGTGCTTTCAGTTGGTATTTTAAGTTTGGTTTAATCGTAATCCTTCCCTTCAGATGTCAACCGTCGAGTAGCTTAAAAGATCTCTGGAGGTTCTTTTGTCCCCAGTCCTCATTCCTCACGCGTGTGAGCACTCTGGGTAAAACGAAGTCGGTGCTGGCTCAGAGCGGATGCCCCTCCTTCAGACGCACCTCTCACTGCCCTTCTTGCAATTCTTCGTAGATTTTTGGACCGGTGCAGCCAATACTAAAGTTCAAAAATATCGAAGAAGTGATAAAAAGGGCAAATAGCCTTGAATATGGACTCACGGCAGCCGTGTTCACAAAAAACCTCGACAAAGCCCTGAAGCTGGCTTCTGCCTTGGAGTCCGGAACTGTCTGGTGAGTAGCAGATGTGTGTGTTTCGGCTCTCCTGAGCTGCTGGCTTGCTAGCCTCATGGCCCTTCTACGGACAGCTTCCAGTCACATCATCTGTGCCAAGGGCTGCCTTAGAGCTGTGCTCCGTCCTCATGACCACCTCTGAGATAAGCACCATCATTGTGTCTATTTTACAGGGGAGGACATGGGGACACAGAGAGACTGGGTGATTGGCTTAGGGTCACACAGCTAGTACGTGGCAGAGCAGAGCCCAGAGCCAGCCAGCCAGCTCTGGTACCCCTGCTCCGGACCAGAGAGTTGTGCTGCCCCTTGGACTCCACTCCCTCCACCTTTATTTTTTATTCTGACTCTAAAAGCAGTGCCTGGTCTTGTTCAAAGTGAGGACCCAAGTCCCTGCTTCACCAGGCATCCTGCAGATGACATTATCCTCCCTGGAAAGATGATAATGCTGATAAATATAAATCGGGGCTCAGAGAGGCTGAATAGCAAGCCCAGAATCCTTAGAGCCAAGAAGCAGGAGAGCTTTGAGGTCAGGTCTGGTGCATTTCAAAGCTAAATCTTATTCCCCAGTGCCGCAGTTTCCCTTTCCTTTCTTCTCACCTTGACATTCCCTCCTATCCCAGCGAAAAGTTTTATGCTTAGGAATATTCAAATTTTAGCTTCTGGTGGGAAGAATGAGAAGGCAGAAGTTGAAAACGCACTGTTTCCATTATTAAAACTTTGACGAAAAGTCATTCTCTAGGCAAGGGTCTGCTTCAAGCCCCTGCGAGCCGGGACACCCATGACCCGGGTGGGTCTTCCCCAGGTAATTGTGAGCATCTGTCGTTCTTCCTCTAGGATCAACTGCTATAATGCCATCTACGCACAAGCACCCTTTGGTGGCTTTAAAATGTCAGGAAACGGCAGAGAACTGTAAGTATCTGTTACCGCATGCCTGCCGGCAGGTGAACAAAACACACACTACGTTCACAGGGTGGGCGGGGGGGGGGCGGGGGGCATTCACGCCAGGCCACTGACCTTGCCCCGTGCCCCTGTGTTGTCAGGCCAGATCGGCCATGAGAGGAAGGCGGGTGGCCCTTTCCCTCTGGGGCTGCGAGGGATCCCTCTCATCCCGTCTCCCTCCCGCCTTCCCACTCCTGCCGCCCTCCACCCTCATCCTCACACCGCGCTCCTTCCGGCCCCAGGACCAACTTCTAGCCTCAGCTTCCGTGTCCTCCCCAGCAGCTACCACACATGGGGGCGTTCAGTAGACATTTGGCACAGGCTTCCCACATGAGGACAGGGGCGGAACTGGAAAAGTGCACTTTTTGCTAGACTCACACAAACCCCAGCCCTCCGCAAGGAAAATGGGCTCTCTCCCAGGTCGGGCTCTGGCCCTGGCTGCCCCACTAGCAGAAGCTCTACGGACAGACTCGGGGTTACTCTGACTCCTTCTCGGTGCCTCTGTGGGAGACATACTGCCATGTCCTCTGTGGCCCCATCAAATCCACCACGTACTCCTAAAGGGTCGCTTTCTATCTTGCCCGCTGGGAAGATGAACTCCGTAGGCGTAGACTCATGGACAGGGCTTCTTGTGTCTGGCCCAAGATAAAAGGTCCAGGCACAGAGCTGGACAGAGCGTTCTGGGAGTGGACACACTGTAGTTTCCAGCTGGACGAGGCCTTCTCTCCCACGTCCTTCTTGGTGGTGCTTGGCGTTTTATTAGCCTTTGTGGCAAACAGCTTGTGGGATCCATCTTCCCAGGAGGACCATCTGTGACAACTGCAGACTGCTCCTGGAACATCTCAGAGGGCCCCGAGCTCTTACTCTTAGTTAAACAGTTTGTGTTATTTATATACAAATGCATTACCTCGTTCTTGTTTGTATGTCGTCCAGTGGGAGCACTCAGATGCTTCCCCTCGGCTTGGGCAGCTCCCCTTCCAGATTCTTCATAAAGATGTTATGAGAGAATGGGGCTGGCTTCCCTCCCTGAACAAATGCTTTTGACCCGTCTCCACGAAACTGGGGTCCCTTCCCCCATCTTGGTCTTTCTTTCTAATCCATTCCTGAGTCATGGCAAATATGCTAGAAACATCTGAACATCTGAGTAAAATATGTCCATTGGTGTCCCTCTAATTCCTATGACTCGTTTCCCTTTCAGGGAACCTCAGTAAATTCTCAGCCATGAAAACCCTTTGCAGAAATCATGTTTCATCCCCAGATGGCTTGTTTGTGTTCTGTTCTAGGAGCCTCTGCTTCATTTTCTTTTTACATCCTCCTGCTTGAGAGAGACATGAGGCCTGGGCTGGGGTCACCTGGGTCCCTGTCAGAGCCTCCCCACAGCTGTAGTACTCATGACCACTGGCACGTGCTGGGCACAGACCCTGCCAGGCTCTGTGTGAGCACTTTGCATGTGTCCATTCATGCCACGCTCACGACAGTCCACGAGACGGTGTCTTACTTTGTTCTGCTTGCTCCACCAGAATACCACAGACGGGGTGGCTTAAACAAGAGACACTGGTTCCTCACAATTCTGGAGGCTGGAAGCCTGAGGTCAAGGTGCCAGCAGATGTGGGGTCTGGCGAGGGCTCCCCTCCTAGTTCACAGAAGGCTGTTCTCACCATGTCCTCGCATGGTGGAGGGGCTGAGGGAGCTCTCTGGGGGTTTCCTTTATAAGGACGCTTATCCTTTTCATGAGGGCTTCCAACTCTCCTAACCTAACCACTTCCCAAAGGCCTTGCCTCTTAATACCTTCCCATTGAGATTGCAGGGCTTCAGTGCATGAATTTTTGGTGGACACAAACATTCGGTCCATAGTAGATGGCTACTACCACTAACTGCCCTTGTTTCTGGGTGAGGAAACCCAGGGGTGCCGGGGAGGTTCCATGCCTTTCCCGGGTCACACTGCCAGTAAGTGACAGAGGTGGGGTTGAATCCTTGGACCCACCACACCATAACACCTTGCCAAACGGGGGTGTCACCTCTGTAAGCCACGTGGACTGAAGCCAGCCAGGGCATACATGGTCATTTGTCTCTCCTGATCAGCTGCCTTCAACCAGGCAGGTCATGACCGCTCGAGGGGGACCCAGAACCCCACACGGTCCTCCTCCCAGAGGCCAGGCGTGGCCTCCTGCTGCAGCAAGAATTTTGGCCCGCACACAGACGGCCTTGGATGTCCATGCTGCAGGAAGGGTGCTTGGGGCCCGCCTGACTTCCAGTGTGTACTGACTCACACCACCTATGGTTTATTGCTTTCCTCACCTGTGTCATTCTGTCTCCCTTCCCCCCCCACCCCCGACCGCCCTTCCAGGGCCTCAGCACCCCCACCTGGCGCAGAGCACAGCCTGGGTCTCATCCCCACAGCCGGGACTTTTTTCAATGTGTTTTTTGTTTTTTACCCTTGGCATATATTTCCCCAAGGCTTTTGATAAAGCACTTTAACATAATTCACACGGAGCCTGGAAACTGACTTGAAAACCAATTTCCATTTTCACTGGTCTCTGATTAATGCCTTCATGTCGCATCCAGTTCTCCTTTTGTATGCTGGAGCACGGTGCGGGGGATTCCGTGGTTTTCCCCAGCCCAGGCCGCCTGGACCCGGCTGGCTCTCTGCCGCCCACCCACAGGCCCCTCCGGGCATCTGCTCCTGCGCACGTCTCGGGCGGAAGCCTCCAAGTTCTCTTCCTCCTGGACACTTTTCTTGCTGGTTTTGCGGTAACAACGACAACAAACAACAACAAAAATCCACACAATCCACACAAGATGTGTGGGAAGTGAGGCCTCCCTTCACGGATCCTCAATCCCGTTTGTTAGAGATAACCACTGTTCCATCACCCATTTTGTTCATTTGTTCACTTAGCCAATATTTAATGAGGACCTTTAGGGCACATGCTGGGTTCTGAGCCCAGAGCAGTGATCACCCCTCCCCCTTCCAACATTCTGGTGAGGTCGAATGGAGAAGGGCTGGGCTCATGGATGGCCTTGAGCGCCAAGACCGTCATGACTGGGCAAGAAACCCATTAGGAGACACCGCAGTGGGTCGAGTAAGAGCAGCAAGAACTTGAACTTTGGCAGTGATTGCAAGAATAGGAAGAATAAGGTGATTCGTGTACTTCATCTTACAGGAATGGTTTAAGACTGGACTGTGTTAGTTAATGGGCTAATTCGCCGAACATGCTTTCATCATTTGGTTTACTTTTCTTTAGGAAGTTGATAAATCATTAGCTACCTTGAATTTTTAACAGCGCAACACTAGATGCTCACTTTTAGAATTACTGTGCATTTTCTTTGCATACAATGGATGCACGTATGTGCATTCTTTTCTGTTTCAAATGAAATGGGAGCAAACTACTTTGTGGTCTTGAGAATGGGCTTTGGATATGCCTCTATTCTTTTTATTAAGGGTCTCCCGTGATGGACTTTTGTGTTATTTCCAAGGGCTTTTGCTATTACAAACCATGATTCTTCCTTGTGCATAAATCTTTATGCACTAGTGGGAGATTGTTTTCAGAATAAATTCCTAAAATTGGGTAATCTGCCGCATGAAAAATGAGCTCCCGCTCCTTTGGTTTGCAAGTCTTTTATTGTGAGGCTGTTGAGCATATTTTTCACACTTACTGGTAATCTGTGTTTGTTTTTCTGTGAACTGACTATTCCTGCCCTTTGCTGATTTTTCCTTTTGATTGTGGGGTTTTTTACTTGGTTTTTAAGAGCTCTTTGTATATGAAGGAATACGGCACTGTTTCTCACACAGTGTTGTGAATGTAATTTTTTTCTAGTTTCTCATTTGTTTTGGGGGGGTTTTGAAATGGATTTTCTGCTCTACAGAAGTTGAATTCACCATTCTGCATATGGCTTTTATATTTTGTGTTATGTTTAGAAAAGATTACAAAATACTTCACTCATTCTCACGGGTTCTTGAACTATTTGTTTTAAGGAACTACCAAAAAAAATCCCAGTGACATATTAATTAAGAGATAATAATATTACTTTCTACTCTTTATTTTTTACCTGTACACACAGCTCTATAATAAATCATCTCCAATCGTTATAACGACAAGGAGGCGATGGTACGCCCATTTTAAAGATCATGAGTTGGAGGCTTAGGGAAGGCTAAGGACCTGCCTACATAGGTCTAAGCCAGTGGTTCTCCAATTTGAGCTGTATCAGAATCCTCTGGCTTGTTAAAACACAGATTTCTGGGCCCCACTGCAATAGGTGTATTAGTTTTTTATAAAACAACATGAATGTATTACCTAATACAGTTCTGTAGGCTAAAAATCTGACGGTCTCACTAAGTTGAAATCAAGGCATGCGCAGGGCTACAGTCCTTTCTGGGGACTCCAGGGAGGGAATATGTTTCCTTGCCTTTTCCAGCTTCTAGAGGCTTCCCACATTCCTTGGCTGGTGGTCCCTTCCTCTATGCTCAAAGGCAACACTGTTCCAGCTCTCCGAACCTGCTTCTGTAGTCTAATTTCCCTCTGACTCTCTTCTTCTGCCTCCCTTTTACCCTCTTAAGGATCCTTATGATACTTCAGGCCCACCCAGATAATCCAGAATAACCTCCGTATTTTAAAGCCAGTTAATTGGCAACTTTAATCCCATCTGCAACCTTAATCCCCCTTTGCCGTGTAACCTAACCGGTTCGGAGGATTGACGAGGGGGCATTATTCTGGCAACCCCAGTACCTCAGGGGCAGGGTAGGGGGCCTGAGAATCTGCATTTTGTGCAAGGTCTGAGATGTTGCTGAGGCTCTGAGACCACACTTGAGAACCACGGACCGAAGGGATGACATGGGACTCTACAGACCCTCCAGTGGCCACCTCAATTTCTACCTCTTTTCCCCAACAAGGACACATTTTTATTTACTTAACAGCAGAGCACGTGTTGTGGAGGCATTTATTTATTTTATTTTATTTTTTTCCCACGATATGGAGGCATTTAAACATACCCAAAGCCATATCTCAGTTCTGGGAAGGGGAGCTGCCCTGACGATGGCCCATGACACCTGAGAAGGGTCACCGGGCTCTGCAAGATGTAAAGAAGGGACAGATACCAAAGAGGAGAACTCAAAGGTCGTGGTCCCCCACTTGTGTCCGGTCTGTGCTAATGTCTGCCCCCCTCGCTGCTCTGGGCTGGCTTACTCCTTTTACAACTGGTCGCCAGCTGTGGGCTCTGAGGTCAACTCCAGGCCCTCCGTGTCCCTGTTCCTTGTGGATCCTCTGGCCACATCCCCTGCTCCCCTCCTTGTTCACCCACGTGGGCCCTCTTCTCACTCTCTACTCCCCACCCAGGGAATCCACCTCTTTTTTTCGCCCCCCTCATCCCTTTCATCCATTAAAGGCAAACACTTAGTCCTTCTGAATATTTCCAAAGCATCACACATCAAAACACTTGATATTTAAACTGAAGTTACTTAAATGCACTAACGGTGTGATGCTCCTGGCTATTCCCCTATTAAGTCATCACATTCTGACTCTTTGCACCGACTCCAAACTGCCCAACAGAGTAATTGACCAATCAAGCGTTAGACCACAGCTGGCAACGAAAGGCGAGGTGACATGCCCGTTTTACGTTCTCCTCTTTCCTGTGATCGCAGTGGTGAATATGCGCTGGCTGAATACACAGAAGTGAAAACTGTCACCATCAAACTCGATGACAAGAGCCCCTGAAGGAAAGGTGGGCTCCTTCCTCAAACCTTTGACAGCTGAATGTGGCAGATGGAACTTTGCCGAAGAACACCTGCATTTCCCGCCTCCCCGGGTTACTCTGCTCTGGAGACTTTAAATCTACTGGATTTGAACGATTTCAGTTTTCCTCTCACACTCCTGTTTCATTGACCAATATGTTGTGTATGTGGCATTGAAGTCCTGCCTGGGGATGGAGCGAGGGGCCATTTCCGTTTTTCCCTTCCAACCAGGTCCCCCAGGGACAGTGAAGAGGCTCAGGGCGAGGCCAACAGGAAGTGGTATTTGAAGTCTCCAGCGGTCACTTAAAGATGTTTTGCCGACTCTGACTCCAATAAGAACTTGGAAAAACGCCCGGCTTGTTCTGCAAACAGGGCCCTGCACCTGTGGCCTCCTCGGGGTTACCTGCCCACAGAACAAGCCCCTCCTACCAGTTAGTGGGAAAGAAACAGGACTAAGTTGAAAACAAAACAAAAACAGGATTGTGAGGATCCAGTGTGGGGAGCTTTGGGGAAGCAAGTACCATGGAAAGGTACCGAAGGACTTGGGTGTGAAGGGGCGTGGGTCTTCAAGGACTGCTTCTTGACATTGACCACAGGACTCAGCTTAAAACCAAAACTCCTTTTGGAATATGAACGAATCAACGGCCAGCTTGCTTATCTAAAACTATGTCACGGTCTGCCTTAACCAAGGCACTTTCTCAGGCAGAGAACATCCCTAGTGTTTCCATCACTGCTGAGGACCCAGTACTCTGACGTGACAACAGCTTGGCAACTGCGTTTTACAAACCAGAGCCATAATTCGCTTTTACAAATTATGAATTTCTACCACTTGCATTAATGGTTTCTGATCAGCCTGTGTAGCTCTCTTTGTCTCCAGTTTGGTTATCTATTTTAGATTAGCAAAACATACGCAACTGGAAAGGTTGTTGTTTTAATACAGCTTGGTTTTTTAAAGTCCTATTTTGATGTTAATGATTAATTAACAAATAACACCCAGACTCCATGGAAGAACTGGGTCTCCTACTAAAGTGGCCTGAGTACTGCACTAACATGTTGTGAATTTTTCTTTTCCTCTTTATATGTGCAAACGCTGTGCAATCCCAAGTTTTAAAGTGTTCCCCTGATCACGCTTTTAAAAAACAAAACCAAACGTAATTGCGTTATTTGGATACTTTCATTGTTATTAACTAGTTACTTTTCTGATGGTGCTTATATTTGGGAATTAAATTATGTTTATAGGATTAAATTGGGGGAGGGCAATAATAAAATAAACATCAAAACCAGTGTATGGATGAAAGAAAGTCCTACATGGAATGGGGTTGTCATTCTTGTCAGAAATAGGCAATATGCAATTCACCTTCTCTACATCAGTTAACACTTATCACTTAAACTGTCGGCTAAGTCAGGAGTTGACTTCATACACTGAATTTTCGGGATTTTATCTCAAGCAACTATAGACATTAACCTTGATAGTAATACATTAGAGGGTTCTCATTCTCTCATTGTACAATGCTGCCTTTAATATGAAATGCTACATTATTTATAACTGGTATAGTTAATGTATCTTTTTATAGTTGTAAGTAAACAGAGGTGGTATATTTAACCTTCTGTAATATACTGTATTTAGAAATGGAAATCTATATAGTATTAGATTTCACTTCTTTTAAGGTTTATTCCTGTGGTATGGTTTCAAAAAAAAAATCTATTGGCCTCGGAATTCTGACCCCAACTACAGATCGCGTCTGGCAATACAACAATGATAAAATAAAATCGGATATTTGACAAACATTACGTTTTTTCACTTAACGACGAAACTCGTTGTCATTCTGTGGCTGACCTTTCTCTTTCTCAGAGCTTCTGTACAAAATGGCTTGTAATAAAGCAGTATTGATAGCTGAGGATTCAAATTCAGCATTTAGTCTGAACGTGAAACCCACTGGTTTGAAGGTTGAGCAGGCAGGGAGCTCGGCCTCAGAGGCTCCGCATCTTAGTTGGTGAAGTGTAAGCTGTCACCTAAGCTGCCCGAGTGTCCTTTTACTAGTGAGCGGGTGAGTCCGGAAAATGGTGGGGAGGACTGTACAGGGTTTTAGGGAAAATATTGCATCCTGCTATTGTGTGCACACGTTTCCATTTTTGTCACAGGGATCTAGGTGTTTGGGTTTAGCCTACCTTAAGTTTCTAAGAAGCCTCAATCACCAAGCCGTGAGCTGACGCTGAGGTTGGATCAAGAATATCCCTTGTACTTGGTTAGGTTCATCGAGTTGCACCTGTGTATTTGATGTTAATCATCCATGATCACTCTGACTATGGGGCAGCGAGGTGCCATCTTTTAAGAGAACACGTAAAGGAGGCTTGGATCAGATCTCTCTTAATGTATGCACTTACATATGTACTTATTTATTTAGAAAACTTTCATTTCTCAATCTAAATGTGAGCAGAACATTCTAGGAAAATGGCCTTTTCCTTCAATTGGTTTACTCTCTGAAGGGTACCATTCTGGGGACACAGACTGGCTGTCATGCATGTGCATGTGCACGCGTGCACCTGTGTGCTTGTGGTGGTGGGGGGCACAGGAGGTGGGCACATTCTCTAAAAGTGGACCTTTTTGAATGCCTTAGCTTTTCCCGATAATGGACAAAGAATTTTTACTGTCCTTGCTCCTACATATATCTGACTTGAGCTGAAACGTGGATGATAAGGGATTTTTTAATAAAGTGTCAGGGAAGAATGTCTGAGGAAACTAAGTTCCCAGCTGAAGAAATGACTAGAAGGCAGTGGGCGTGGGGTGGGAGGGTAGCAATCAGCCACAAGGCCTTCAGAAGGCAGAAATGTTAGGTTGAGGAGGTAGCTTCCAGTTGATTCCACCTTAGAAGGGGTCATTCCAATATGAGATGCTGAGAACCTGCGTACGCAGAGCAAAAGCTAGAGGACCACGGGTCGGGGAGGTCGGGTGGGGGGGGCGAGTGGGGGGCAAGAAGCAGCAGGAAGAGATCTTAACTGACCTGTAATAACCTTCCCATGCAAACCTGTGATTAACTAATGCCTAATGAATAGAGTTAAATGTTGGGATGTAACCAGCTCAAAACAGTCCACTCGGCTGTTTTTTTACATTGGAGACATTCCCTAGCCTATTCCCAAACTCATTTAAAAGGGAAGCTGAGTTGCCCCAGCCTCATTGGCCACAGGAGCTCCAGTGTCCGCCCGGGCACTGGGTTGCTGTTCCTCACGGTGCCGCTAGATGGCGCGGCCGCGCTCCCTGGAGGCGCCGCGCCGCGCCGCGATTGCCCGGCTCACTGAGCACTGCGACGCCACGCCCTGCGAATTATTAGGGACTTTTCGGTAGCAATCACACTGCTGCCTTTTGAGTACTGGAATTAGGGCCGAAGTATTGAGGACAGGATTGCAAAACCGCACCCACCCTTTTGCAAGGGCGTTCCGTGGCGGGAGAGCTGGAGGCCTCTTGGGAGCAAAGCAAAGCCGCCCGGTGGTGCCCTCGCCGAGGGGCCACTGCTCAGAGCGCCCGCGAGGTCGTGCGGGGGTCGTGCGGGGGCCCTGCGTCTGCCGGGCCTTTGTGAGATGGCAGTGAGGGTGGTGGGCATTTGTCTCCGTCTTGCGCTAAATCTGGGAAGGTTCCAGTCCTAACATTACGTGAGAAGAGTCCAGTGCGCGGGTCCTGCCAGGCTGCAGAACCATCTGCTTTTTTCTGAGCAGGCTTCTCTTCTGGGGTTGGCACGCGGAGCCAGGTCTGATGGCTGCCCGCGGCATGGACGTGCGTCCCTATGATCTGCCTTCGGATAATGGCCTCAATGGCGTGATGAACGTACTTACCTTAAGTCGAAACATGATCAATTGCCAACATTCCGCCCTGGGTTATCTACTCCCCCGCCCAAAACACCCCACACAATTTAAAATGATTCACCAAATAGTGACATCTCTCTATATACATCCATAATTAAATAACTTCATGTGACGGGAGGGGCACAGTTTGCAAAATACGAAAGCTTTACAAATATCTGTTTCTATACTGCCCTATACGGAATCGTACATAAATGAATATTCCCTGATTTTTAAATATTTACTGCGAGTCTACGCCTAATACGAGTCAGAGGTTAATCGTTGGGTTTTGCCCGCCGAGCAGAGCCCAGGGGCAGTGAAAGCTGGGCTGAGCTGAGAACCGACCAATCTTGTCGCCGCGCCTGCCCCGCGGGGACAGAGCAGGGTACCCAAACCTGGAGGAGACCTCGCGCTACAAGGGCTCACGGGCCCCGGCTTCCCCGAGGCGGGAGCGGTGCATCTGGGCACCTCCGGCTTTCGGCTAGGGAAACTGAGGCGGGCCACCACAGGGATCCCCGCCCCCCTCCCCGCGCCCGTCGC